AATTGTGTTATGCACATTAGCCCATATAAAATCCCCACTGTTCGACTTGGTTGGATGGTGGAGATTACAGATCCGATGATTGTCACCATGTTAAGGCTAAAAGTAATTGTGACCTCGAAAAAGATACATGGTCCCATATAATAGAATGCATAAAAAAAATCAAATAGGAAACTTGTAATTCAACAATATTGGGGCCAATTTTATCGCATTCAACCGAATGGAAACAATGAGATAACCAGGGGTATGTATGCAACAGGGAGAAAAATAAATATTTCTCACCATTAAAAGGCATTTTTTTTCTTGGTCCCTTGACAGCCATGACAAAAATAAAATTCAGAACAGAATGAAGAAAAGAACTCTGCATCAAACTGTACAGAGTGTTCCACTGTACAGAGTGCAGAAGAAAAGAATGCAATTCCAAAACCACACAATTAAACAAATCTATACCCCAAATAATTCTCCAGGGAGAGAGAAAGACAGAGGAACAGAGAAAGACAGGAAGAGAGAGAAAGAGTGACAAATTGACGAAGTCCAAGTCCCTTGGTAGGACCCCAAACTCAAAAGAGGAAAAAGAGCTTTGCCCAATTCATCCCGGCGTTCATGTACCAGCTAGAGAGACTGAAAGAGAGTCCAGGGTTGAAATTCCAACTACCCAATGACACATTTCAAAATTTCAAAACCCAAACTCGTGTGTTGCAGGGTAACATCCACACCACTAATGTCTCCTATACCTAAGTTTCAAATTCTGGTTTAACCCACCCAAACAGAGAGGAAAATGTCGAGAGAGAAACCCGAAAAGAATGCAAGCAATTCAAGAAGAAGATCATGGCGTGGCCACCCTAGTAACCTCTGGCGGTGTGTGCCCACCCGATTCTTTCGACCTCTCCTCCGAAGACCCCCTCACATCATCAGTGTCATTCCCCCTCACCTCCTCCAACATTCTGAGCACTTCACTGATCCCAGGCCTCTGATCAGGCACCCCTCCAACGCATGCCATGGCCACCTGCAATACCTGAACCATCTCCTCCTCAACCTCTCCTCCTCCCCCTCCTCTCATCAATTCCACATCGAAAACCTCAGCCGTCCATTCTTCTCTCACTACACTCTGAACCCATCTCGGTAAATCGATCCCCTCATCGTTTAGAGCCGCCTGGTTTGGAGCCTTCCCTGTAAAAGCACGTCTCAAAAATTATTTATAGCGGAATTAAAAAATAATAAATAAATAAAATAATAATAAATAAAAAAATAAAAAAGCAAATTTTGAAAACACACTCTATCAACTGTTTACAAAAAATAAAAACACGCAATGGTTCTATAGTAATATAATAAAATCATCTTTAAAAACCATGTTAGAGCTATTTATTTTATTTCAATTTTTAAATATATACTCTTTTTAAGTCCAATGAATAATCACAAAAAAGCAAATTTTCAAAACACACTCTATCAAGTGTTTATTTAACCCAATTAATATAGGCCGTCCATTTTAATGAGATGCGTAGATCTAAGCTTTAGAAGGATTTTTCTCTTTAAAATTTTTTTAGATCGTTTTTGTGTCATTAGATTAACCATGTTAAAAAAGAAAAAATTTATTTCAAAATTGTAAAAGCCTATATCTTGAAATTCATCAAATAGATGGTCTAAATTCATTGTTGAAGGGAGCTCATTTTGACCATATTTAGGGTACAAATTGATTTTTTTTTTTGAAATTAATTATTAGGATGAAAAGAGTGAGTGTACAAAATTTGAAGTCAAATAAATGACATAAAACATGATTTTTTAGAAATGTGGTTTCATTATATTAAAAGGACACGGTGATATCATACATTTTAATTACTGCTAATTCATAGAAACTTTTGAACTTTCACATTATTATGTATGAAAAACTAATAGACAACTGGGTTCACAATATCTTCCCAGATTTTGGAACGTGTTATGATGGCCATGGCTGTTTTATAGTGACCGCCATATTTTTTTTAACAGAGTTGCCAATTATTTATTCAAAACAGGCTTTTCAATATGGCAACTACCGTTATATTGTTAGATAATAGTAATTTAAAGGCAATCTAATAGATACAATAGGTATTTAGTAATGGGCAAGCTTTTTATGCTTTCCCTACAACATAAAACTTATATACTTTCCCTTATCCAACCGTCCATTCTGAATGGAGGCTTAAGATTGCCCCAATCACAATGTCTCGTCTCTACACTATTTTATTTTTAATTTTTTTTTATAAATTATTAGGACACCAAATTTTGGACGTCAAATCCTCTATTAAACTTGCACTAGTGAAAAATATAAAAAAAAATATTTTCAATAAAATAAAATGACCAAAATACCTTTGAAAGTTTCAAGGGATATTTTGGTCATTATATTTTATCGAAAAATTCATTTTAATATTTTTTATAGGTGGGCCCCAATAAAAAGATGATATGTACCAAATTTCATATTCCTACAATTTTTATAAAAAAAATTAAAAATAAAATATTTTGAGACGTCGAATCTAAGATCATATGGTGAGTGGCTCTCTTATCTAAGATCATATGGTGAGTGGCTCTCTTGATCAAAATTTTTGATCAAGAGACGGTTCGATGGGAAGGGAAGGATAGATCTTCTATTCTGTAGGGGAAGTATAAAAACCTTTCCCTTTAGTAAAAGGGAAAAAACAAGTTCTGTAACAAATAAAACACTAATCGTTTTCTATCTTCATAAGTCCTTTATGATCTTGTAATCGCAGCTAATCCTTCATACCATAGTCATAGCATAATGCATTGTAATTGCCATTACTATTTTCAACAGTTTTTCGAACCATACCTGTAAGTAATTCCAATAAGAGGACACCGAAGCTGTATATATCGGATTTGAACGATGGTTTTCGAGTTTCTATGAGCTCAGGCGCTCGGTATCCGGCAATCCGATGGGCCCCAGTTGAAGAGGGTGCGAAGAGGGGATTGAGGCCAAAGTCAGCAACACATGGGTCATGTGTGGGGGTGAGAAGGACATTCGATGACTTTATGTTTCCGTGAGGGAGGCGGGCATTTGTGTGGAGGTGTGCCAGGCCGCGAGCCGCACCCATGGCGATGCGCATGCGCCCATCCCAATCGAGGGGAGTCCGACCAGAGCCTCGACTTCCTGAAAATTTGTCAGTGTTAGAGAGAGAGAGAGAGGTCCTAGCTCAACAAAGCTACATTGGTGAAGGGGAAGCATAGCATAGACGAGTCATGTACTGTAAAAATAGCAATAAACGAGTCTTGTAAAGCAGGTGTACCAAGCACAATAATATGGTAGAGCAACGGACCACCATAAAAAATCCACTAGGGCCAGACAGTGGGACCCACATGAACAGCCTGGTAGGCCAAGGTTCTCTTGGTTTAGGAGTGGCTAGGGCCAGGCTGGGCCGGGCCTAGTTCTCATAGGGTCGGCCCAAGCCTAGCCTCATCAGGGCTAGGCAGGGCTAGGCCCGGGCAAATAAAATCAAACAAAAACTAAAGCAAAAAACAAAGAAAAAGAGGGCTGCAGGCCTTAGTCAGGCCCAACCCGGCCTTAACCTCCAGCCAAGTTTGCTGGCCCACCCGGCCCTAACCTCCAGCTGAGGTTGCTGGCCCACCCGGCCCTAACCTCCAGCCCAGGTTGCTGGCCCACCAGGCCCATTACCACCCCTATCTCGATTCTCATAAGACAGGAATCACCTAATGAACCAAGGTTTCCCATGGCCCACTGGACTATAGTATCAATTTCCTTCTCAAAATAGTGCTCCATGGGGACATTCAAATTTTGGCAAATTTTTGGAAGCTACGGCCAATCTACAGAGTCAATCATTGAGACACACCTATTAAAAGGGAATTACACCATATATCCATGGTACATGGTTATAGTACACCACATACATCGACAGCCCATGCAATGTCATGGGTGGTGGAGATTATGCACGAGTTGATGGATATCCTCCATTGGAAACTAGAATTAAACTCCACGAGGAATGGTCGGTGGATTTAATGTAACATATTCATACGCCAGTGCACTACAGTATATACTAAAGTATCGAGCCTACTGAAATTTTACAAACTACTCCCTAGAATAGCCAAAAGATTTCATGTTCCTGCGGGCCCATTACTGTATACTTGCTCCTCGAGGAAAACCCAATCTACGAGTAATCTCCGTACCCCAAATTTTGGGGATGGAACTTCAACTCATAAACTAATCTCAACAACAAAAAAAAAAATCTCTATACGCAATGAAAAAAGATGTCTCCATCCAATTTTTGGAGGGTAGATCAAAGAACTACCAAAATAATCATGGTGATTTTTAGGATAAGCGGTGGTAGATCGGGTTTTTGAGGTGTACAATATGCTCTGGCAGGAGCACAGTACGTGCGCTATACAGAATAACCAAACTAACCCCGCCCACACAGGGGAATCTTATCCACTCGTTTGGTGACATCTATAATGATCAAAATACCCCTATTCCCTCCAAGAGTAAAACGTGGATTAGACCCAACAAGAACTAAAGGCCCCAATAAATGACCAAAACACCCCTGTTAGCAACCCAAGCAATGAGGAATAAAAAAAGCTTCCTTCTTTCAAAGATTACCAAAATGCCCCTACACTGCACCTTGACCAAGATGCAGACTGGTGTCTGAGACTGAGAATCACGGCTTCAAGGGAATAGTGTCCAAAAACCAAAATGAGAAAGAAGTAATAAATGACAAAATAACCAGATAAAAAATCTTCATTCTGGAGACAATGTATAACCAGTGGTCAGATTGTCTTCAGATGGGTTTCGATAAAAGTCAAGAGAGAGAATTGAGCAAGCTCTGGTTTTGGAGAAACCCTGTTTCGAGTGTTTTAGAGAGAGAGAGAGAGAGAGAGAGAGAGAGAGAGAGGGAGGGA